AAGTGGACTACCGGTAGAGCTTTTTTCATACTTTGTCTACTTTTCTGGAACAGGTGTGAACCCAATAAATTACCAATTGTACTCCTTGTCTTTGACGGTTACAGTGAGAATCCCTGAAATTACTTTACCATCTTTGAAAAGCTGAACGAAAAACATTTTCTGCAACTTAACCAGTGAAGATGGAAAAGTTTGAGAAAGTTTCAAATAAAAGCCAAACCATACGTCGTGTGAAAATAAAATTCAGAAAAACAACACAGCTAGTCTCATTGAGCCTTGCGGACTCATTTATGAGACTTGTTAATAACCTATTATTAAGAAAAGGGCAAAAGTCTTCGCCCAGGCTTATGGCTATTCAAACGACGACCCAATTTCCAGGTTTACAAAACAACTCCTTCCCAAAAATGGCATACCAGTGTGAAAGAACACTACATCTCTGCACTTTTGCATGACATGGTTTTCTCTGTTTTCTCAACCAAAAAGCTTGTGTTTCTACAGAAATGTATGTGTGGAGCATTGCCAGTAGAAGCACATTTATTCTGTTCAAAATACTTAATCCCTGACAGACTAAACAAATCAGCAGCCTCTTAGCACCATCAGTATAAAATAGTCTATCTGTAAGCACAAAAAATGATAAAAACTAGCACATATTTGGCTAGCTATTAGCCTAGCCTGGACACAAACTTCTGTCCTTTTCTCCTCTGCTTTAAGATTGATGCCACAACTGAGATGTACTGTCTGACAGAAGATTGTTTTTTTTTTTTCATTTAGCCTTTATTTATCCAGGTAGTCTCATTGAGCCATGAGAACTCATTTTCAAGAGAGACCTGTTTAGGGAGCAGATGGTGGGGGGTTAAGGGCCTTGCTCATGGGCACAGAGTGGGGCGAATGAGGGTTGGGGCAAGTTTGATGTTGTCGGGGCCGGGGCGTGAACCGGCGATCTTCGGATCACAGGCCCACCTCTCTAACCTCTGCGCCACCACTCCCCACACTAAAATGACAAAATGACGGTGAGTTGATTCATTTGTGAAAAATGTGCTTGTTGTGTAAAATACAAAATGTTTGAGCAACCAATCATCTAACCACAACAACCATTATGACTTTCAGTTTGTTCTGTCACAACAAAGAAAATATAGCTGAAGTCCCTTTAACCCTAGAAAAAGGTAACTCTGTGTCAATAGGAAATGAAATAAATCCTATAAGTGGTACCCAGCGTATTCAGGAGCACAAGACTAAACAAGAAGAAGGCCAAGTTTGTGTATCCCGACTTCTCAGAGCCAGCCAGTAGTCGCCTGCAGTCCTATGTGGTTTCTGTTCAACAAAAATAGAATCACTGCGACACAGAACCTGTAGCTACATGTAATTTGGAAAAGCGTCTGTAAACAGTAACCGACATCCTGGTATCATGGTAGTAACAAAAGGCCCTCCTTTTTGCTTCGTACCATTTCTTTATTGAATTCAAAGCTACTTTAATGGCCCAAATCTGAACGTGCCACTGTTTTTATGGACATGCCCAGCTTAAAATCTTTTTGGATTCTCTAAACAGAGTCCATATTGTGACAAAATGATGGCGAGTTGATTCATTTGTGAAAAATGTGCTTGTTGTGTAAAGTACAAAATGTTTGAGCAACCAATCATCTAACCACAACAACCATTATGACTTCCAGTTTGTTCTGTCACAACAAAGAAAATATAGCTGAAGATTATGTGTTGTACAAAAAATTATAGTTGACATCTGATTCGTGTTCTTCCCATCTTAATTTTACAACCTTTTTGATCTAAGCAACTTGTTGTCATTCGCTTACGAAGTTTTTGGTACTCAACATTTTCATTTCAACCAAAAACATATTTACTCTGATGGTATTTTACTTTGTTTTACACTTAAGTTCACAACATTAATGTCAACAGAAAGACAGTGAAATGTAGCCAGACAAACAGTGGATGCTAAATGTTGAACAGGTTTCGTTACACTGTTACAGAAGAAGGAACTAGAGATGAAAGTGACAGCTCTGATAGTTTCATAAAACTGTTTTTTTTATACAGGTGAATAAAAATACTTCCAACAATAAAGTGAACCTGGTCATGGCAAACAATTCTAGTCATGTGATTTTTAAATACTTGCAGGTATGTAGAAAATACAACTCAGTGAACTAAGATTCACACATAAGAATTAAGATTTTTTTATTTTTTTTTATTAAATGTTACACATCAAGTTGGCCATTTTAGTACTTGATGTAAATGTAGGTCTAAAAAGAATCTGAATTGGTTTGAACTCGCATAAAATAAACCAGATTACCTCAAAATACTAGATTATTTTATATGGTTATATCAAGCATCATATTATAACAAATATCTAGTTATGACCCACTTCATATGTTGCGTTTTCCTTGGTTTCACAATAAGTTAGTGTGACTAGTGATATGAAACACAAACCTTGTGGCTTGAGCACAGTTTGCTTTTGGCCAGACTTAAAACTAGGGCCAAATATAAACATAAAAATAACAAAGCTGGATGCAACGAGTGACTTAAAGGAACTCTTAAATGCCACGAAGACAGTTAAAAAAAAAAACTAAAATAACATTTTAAAAAAGTAATTTCTCATATTGATGATTAATGTGCCATTAAATTGAACATTTCTGAGCAAAATCTGTGACTGCCTGCCAACTACCACGTGTTTGTTTATCTTCGGAAACAGCCGAAGCGACTGAAAATGTGTCAACAATAGCAACGTTCAAGGAGGAACCATTTGGAATTGAGAAGTCAAACAGCTCTGATGTATTTGTACGTATTTACACTCCTTTACTCTACTGAGTAAAGTGTGAAAATAAAAAGATAGGTTAAGCCGAAAAGGGAAACTTACTGGTCTAGAAGTGACCCGACATTGAAAACGGCCTAATGGCGTCTTAAAAGCGGTGTTACGTTCGTCTCCCTCTTTTATGCGTACAAAACGGTACGCATTCTGTAAATCCAGTTTTGAAAATACGGAGGGCCCCATGGGGCTGTTCAAATACCGAGTAAATAAGCACATGCGCTTTTATATGTTCACCTAAACAACTGAGATTCTACGCTTGTCCAATTTTGCCATATTCATTTACCTGCACAGACTACAGTGGGTCCCAACACTGGTCCTTGAGGAACACCATCCTGTATGTTTTAGTTGTTGCCCTGCTTTGACACAGCTGATTTGAATGAATTGGTGATTAACGGGCTTTAGGAGAACTTGAGGAAGTACTTAAATTGCTGAATCAGGTGTGTTGGAGCAGGGGAACAACTAAAAGATGCAGGACAGTGTTCCTCGAGGAGCAGGGTTGGGAACCACAGACAGCCCAACGCAGTTCAAGCACATGGCACAATTTTCCCATGGGTTTTTGTCAAATTCAGCAGAGTGCTTCGTTTACATGGAGGACAATGGTGGACCTGCATTTCAGAACTGCATATCATTACATCTAGAGAACTAGAGGAGTAAAGTCTTTCAAACTGCACCATTTGACATAGTTCAGGTTTGGTTTCAGACTTATGACCTACTTTAAGCTGACAGCACATCTATAATACTGGTATTTCTCTTCATTCTTATCAGTCAGCTTTACAGCCAAATAAATATACTGTTCCTTTTTCAAAATCACCAGGACACTAGTCCTGGACTAGGAAACAAGTCATACTGGAAAACCGACATCTTTAGCATACTTGTGCATAACGTTAACTGGGGGGGAGGGGGTTTCCTACATTTTCGTCAACTATAGCTTCTTCAAATGGTTACATACATTACAGAGACACGTTAAATGGTGTGATGTTGAAAAGGGATGAAAGATTATAGTTATCGGGACTGATCGAAGCGGACAAAGACAAAATATGTTGCGTTGGACTTGCTCCCGGTGGTCACACTCTTGGTTATTTAGTTGACAAGAAAAGCGCATACACACACTATGCAGGAATTAAGGGCATTAAAAATTGTGAACAATTTTAATTAAAGAAGAGTGGCTCTGAAGTAGTGAATGGTGAAATGAAAGAACACAAACAACAAAAATCTGAACACAGGCAGGGTAAGTAAACGGTGTTTGTTGTTTGTACGCAAATTTAACATTAATATGTGCCTTTAGATGTAATAATTGGGGATTCAGTTCTAATCTCGAAGTTCACTCACTGTGCTCAGTTAAAAACACTCTGTTGTCTTCATCTACATAAAGAGTCAAGATCCCAGCCTAGCAATCTCATAAACCATTTGTTTACAACCATATAAGTAAAAAAAAATTGACAAGATTGCAGATTTATTGCACTTGAAAATTTCCTTTGCTAATAAGCAAGTGCTCAGAGCTCATTCTTGCCATTTCAGACTGCTTGTTTTTCCTGTTGATGGTGGCTACACTCTCTGTGCCAAGTTTGCTCACCTTCAGGCTTTCTCAATTTTAGGACATAACGAAAACTTCGCTTTTCTGACCTTTGCTTTGTTCGTGCACCCTTTAACCTTATCACCGTTAAAGTGGAAAGTTACTTTCTGGTCGTTTATCCCAGGGGTTCCCAACACTGGTCCCTGAGGAACACCATCCTGCATGTTTTAGTTGTTCCACTGCTCCGACATGCCTGATTTTTTTCATAAATGGGTGATTTACAGGCTTCTGCAGGACACGAGGAAGTCATGAAATCGCTGAATCAGGTGTGTTGGAGCAGGGAAGCCACTAAAACGTGCAGGGTGGTGTTCCTCAAGGACCAGGGTTGGAAACCACTGACCCTACCAGGATGGCGCAGCGTTACTGGATGTATGAAATGTGTCAGTTGGCATCTATGCTGGCTCATCCCTTGAGTTAACCTGTGGTGGGGATTTAGTCCTAAAGAAAATGTCCACCCACTCTGGCCCTGTGCTGATCCTGCGAAGTTACTGTCCCCAGCAGGTCCCCCCAGGAGGAGCCTTTCACGGGATGTCTGATGTTGTGAAGTCAGCAGCTTTATCAGGATGGAAACGTTTCTTTAAATACCGAGCTCGGCTGGTTTCTTTCTGTCCCCCTTACCTTGGGCAGGTCTCGGATTTGGTTGGCATCCAGCAGCAGCTCCTCCAAACTCCGCGAGTAGCGATAGATCTCATCGGGAACATAGAGCAGGGAGCAGTGGCGCTTATCGACCGTCTCAACGTGACGGTTGCACCGCCACAGGGGGATGCAGTGAAACATCACGATGGAAGCGTGGGGGGGGGGACGAAACCACGATAAACAAAAGGGGAAGGGGGGGGGGGGGGGGGGTGGATGCAACAGATTGCCACAGGACCGTCCTGAGCCCAGTTCACCGCCAAAAACACAAGCGAAACAAAACTCGTCCAACAAAAAAAAAAAAATAGAAAAACACCGAAACTCCGCCCGTGGAGGTCGTTACCGAGTAATGTTCGTGAGGAGGGCGGCTCTGCGCCGTCGCTTGTCCCACTTTGGAGTTGGCACCTGTGGGTTTCCTCCTCGTCTCTCGTCGGCCCGCTCCGCTTTCAGAACACCTATTCTGGTCGTGAAGAACTCGGGTTACATCTCGGTGTTTCCGACGGTGGCATTCTGAGAGTTTTTCCTTCTTTTTTTTTTTTTTATCTTGTTTTCTTTTCTTTTCCTTTTTTTCCTCTCGTCTAGTCCCGGAGTTAATTTCCTCTCCCGTCCAGTTTGTGACCCGGAACATTCACTCCCTCATTCCTGCCCGACGTGACGTCACGGCTGCTCCTCCCTCCGGTCCCTCCTCTGGATGGTCCCGTCCCGAACAGGAGCGTCGCAGCCACAAACACAAAGAAAAAACGACTTATCCTTTAAAATATCTCCTTTACCACGCTGTATAGAATGCAAAAAATAAAAACATAATCGGACCAACTGCATCTCTCTTTTTATTTACTTTACTCATACATTTCACAAGCATAAAACAGTGGTCCAAATATATACAACTGTTCAAATTATCACATAAACATATGATCATTGCTGGATATAATGTATAATATTATTATTCAATTATTGTTCATGTTTTTGTTATTGATGCTAGTTTTTTTTTTTTTGGTAAAGTTAAAGAAAAAATAATTGTTTATCTACTGTAGTTAACTTAAATAGATACTATACTGATGGGTTAAATATTTACTATGGGTTTAGTTGTTCTATGTATGGATTATACATCCATCCATCCATTATCTTTACCCGTTTATTCCATTTTGGGTCACGGGGGTCCCATGTCCAGCAATCACTGTGTGAAGGCCGGGGTACACCCTGGATGGGTCGCAAGTCCATCACAGGGACACATAGAGACAAACGAGACAAACAACCATTCACTCTCCCACTCACACCTAGGGACAATTTAGAGTTACCAATCAGCCTAACATGCATGTTTTTGGTCTGTGGGAGGAAACCGGAGCACCCGGAGAAAACCCACGCATGCACGGAGAGAACATGCAAACTCCACCCAGAAAGGCCCCTGGACCGGGGTTTGAACCAGGGACCTGCTCGCTGAGAGGCAGCAGCTCTACCAGTTGTGCCACCGTGCTGCCCCGCAAGTGGGACCCTGTATACATAATTTCGTTCAACCACATGTACCACTTGTGGTGGAATGACGAATAAAGAACCTTGAATCCTCGAATCCCATATTCATGGTTAAGTTGCCGTGTGTCATCGATTTTTATTAAATTTATTTTTAATGAATCTGTTGTTTAACCTGCTACTTTCCTTTTTTCCCCCACACAGACCATGTATCATCCCCTGATCACATTGAGCTGCAAAGCCAGCTTATTTTTTTGCACATATGCTCCGTTGCATCACTTTATATCACAAAGGTGCATCAGGAGGTGGATTGGCTCCCTTTCACCACCTTGATCCATTCAGAAACCACACCGAGGCAACCAGAAGGCGTCCAAGTCCAGGACTGAAGTGCATTTTGTGAAATAGCTTTATACTTTGATTCATGAGGCGCAGCTATTATTCTACAATTCACGGCAACACATTTAATGCGACACAGCTTTTATAAGATCTATGGTAATTACCATCTGGCTTGTGGTCTCTCTGCAGAGAGTTGCTGTCAGCCACAAACCGGACAAGGCAATATGGTGAGTGAAGAAAATCCCAAGGTCATCACTAAAATAATTTACTCAAGACTTTTATTAATTTTTTGTAGGATCTCACTTTTTAAATTTGAGATCACAGATATAAAGAAGTTAGAGCCAGCTCAAAACTTTTGCACACTACTGTCATTCAATATGAGCTCCACCTGACGGCTGTTTATGTAGCAATATATGAGAATTCAAGCTTGTAAGAACATGATACAGATCTGATGTGAATGCTAGTTTAATAATTTGAAGTTTATTTTTTTATTTTATATATATATATATATATATATATATATATATAAATTTTGGTTGCAATGTTAACGTTTTTTAACTTTTTCAACTTTTGCTGCGTTTACATTTAGTGCTGATAAAAGATTTAGTACAGTATTTATTTCATTTTAGTTTTACGCGAGCCAGTTCAGAATTAAATATCTTTGTGTAAAATATTTTAGTTTTGACTGAACTTTAGTGAACTCTGAAATTTATCATTTATGTTCCACATACAAGAGATGAAAACTAATCCGTTTAAAATGTGAATGTTGATCAGAATTATTTGTTTTTGTCTACAGATTACTCCCCCGGTGCATCCTGCACATCATCTTTTATTCGCTTTAATTTAAACCTGGTGTCATTTTTCAGGAACACTTGCATGCATTTGTTGCTCTTTTGTTTAAGTTTTATTTAAAAAAAATTAAAAAATGCATCACAAATCACAAATCCATGTCAAATTACTTGGAGAATGGGAGAAAAAAAAAACAATTATCCTCTAGATGGAGCCACAACCCATTTAATACAGGTTTAAACTGAAACAGGCTGAAACAAAATATTACATTACGTCTGCAGACTTCATCGTCCATTCAATAGTGAAAAGAACCAACAAAAGATGCAAATGCTTTAATGTCAGTATATTAAGACAAGCTGACAAATTCTAAATGAACCAGGCCTAATGCTGTCCGACGTTGGGAAAGATGAGGTATGTTTATGATGCATTCATTGAAAATAGCACCAATATAAAGAGTTTATCTGCGTCCCAGCTGTTTCTTAAACGCCTTTAAAGACTTTGCCATCATTGGAGCAACTCCTGTAAAAAAAATCAACATTAAGTGAGCAACAATCAGATAAAATATACTTAAATACTTGAAATGATTAGATTGTGCTTGACAGATTAACATATGTATATAACAGTCCAACATCTTAACCACTTAGCTCACTTGTTTTTTTGCGAGCGTCTTGGTTGTTGCTTCCACCAGAACTGGTGCTGCTGGGCCTGTTGGGTTCATTAAAACCGGTCCTCGTTTGGTTTTCCTGACCTTTGACACTGGAAATATTCCAACAAAGTAAACGTCAAGCGTGCAGATTTATTGAATATAAAATGAGAGCCCACCTCCAAACACCCACTGCAGCAGCACGTTACAGACGTTGACGAAGAATCGAAGGTCGTTTTAAACCAAAATATGCAGTTTACGCTGCGCATAGCTCAAATTCCTGGGTTTGTCTAGGTTGTTGAAATCACTTTTTGGTCAACTGCTTTAACGTGGAAGAACCAGATTCTTGGCTGTTCCATAAATCTCTAAAACTGGAATGGGAGGGTATTCAGCACCCCCCCCCCCCCCCCCACCCCCACCAGGAATCAGCTTCCTGCTTCAGTACAAAACACAAACAGTCACTCCCTTTAAAATCAAACTCAAAACTAATTTCAGAAAACTTAAATTTAATTAGTGACACATTCATAATTGTTCTGGTGAATAGCCTATGTGGTTGTAAAATGTTTTATCATGTATTCTTATTCATCAATTTTCTTTAGATTTGTTTTAATCCAGTTTTATTGCTTTTAATTTTATTGCTTCCATGTTATTTTCATTGCATTTATTCTTTATGTTTTCTATAATCTGTTTTTCCTTGTACATTACTTTTTTTGAGTTACCTCTGCGACTGAGAAGTAAACAAGCATAAACAAAGTTGAGTTTTGTCCTGATACCCCAGGGTGTCTCTGATGCAATCGTCTTTAAACAATGCTACCAAAAATACACAGAACAGGCAAAGCAAATAAATTAAACCCAAGACAAAAATGGGAGGAAATGCTAAAAAAGTGTATTTATGAAGTGGACACCCACCTGCACTTGAGCAGATGTGGTTGCTGAACAGCAGTTCCGTGAATTTCTTGCTGAATTCGAACGTCTCTTGGTGGCTTGGCAACAGTGTGAATAAATGCCATCTTCACCTGCCGCCCTATATAAAAATAAATAAATAAATAAAAAGAAAGGAAGGAAGGAAGGAAGGATGTTAGAATGACTTGATTCGTTTTTTTTTTTTTTTGGGGGGGGGGGGGTCAGCATAATCCAACGCTAAAACTAACAGTTTGCTAATGTTCAAATGTTTGCTAATGGTAGCTAACAGTCTTGTTTAAGAGTTAAACTGTGAACTCAAACAATTGTTAAATATCAGTTTATATATATACATATATATATATAAATTTAACTGCAAAAGTTTGATCGTCCTCAATGCAGGGTGTTTCAAATAAAGTCAAACTGTTCCTTTAAGAAGAAGATTAGGTGTTTTCAGTACGAAGCACCCACCTTTCGGTTTCTTAGAATGTGCCGAGACAATAGACTTCGTCAGTCTCTGCAGCTTCCGTTCTCTTTCCTCAGACACCCTGATATACATCTCTTTCCACGACTCGTATTCCTGAAGTCTGCAGTCTTTGAAATCCCTCTGACAATGTTTTCCCCACAAGTGATCCGTCAGTCCCATGTAGATCTGAAATAAGGAAAAACAAAACCGCACTCATGTTCCTATCAATGCCAGACGTAAAAAGCTCATTTTGTATGCAAACTTGATCGTTGCAGATTTGCTGGAACAGTTCGGCAGGTGCAGCAAAGGGATTGGACAATTAGGTCATTTAAACATTTTAAACATTTTTTTAAGAGATTAGCATTTAAAGTACCATAATAATAGACATAGAAGGCCTTTTGACAACAGATAGGGTGGTAAAATATTGACAAAAACATGTTTCAATCCTATGTTCTATTATTGTTCTAGAATTGCGCCGCTCAAGGTGGCTGCATGTTGGAGCAGCTCTGTTACTTTCCTTCTGAGATTTTGCTATTGGAAAATTTATTTCCTGGTTTTCTGGATGTAGATCATATTTTTTGGATGATTGTTTCCTCTGGTATCAGATGTTGTGCAGCCGGAAGGATTTTTACTGAAACTTTTTTGTTTTTGGACATTTGTTATGATGCGTAACCATGGCAACAAGGCAGTTTTCTACAACAACAGCAGCTGATTAACATCTCAAAAGCTCAAATAATATCTCAACTATGGCCCCAACTCTCAAATGAGTTGAAAAGGATGTTATGTGGACGCATTCTCATCTACCTGCCAGCTGTGCTCGAGTGCCTGACCACTGAGATCCTGGAACTAGCAGGAAACACGGCTCACGACAGCGGAAGGACAGGATCGTTCCTCAGCACCTACAGTTGGCTGTCCTCAGCTATGAGGAGCTTGGCAGACTGCTGGGAGGAGTGGCCATCGCTCTGGGAGGAGTTCTGCCCAGCATTCAAGCGGTCCTACAGTCCAGGGGAACCGAGAGGCCAGCCGAGTTTGAGTGGACGGATCGGACGGCATCTGCAACCAGTTTCTTAGGATCCACTGTGAGATGGACCTTTACAAGAGCCATCAGCATCTATAACATCGCTTAATGAAATGAGGATAATGAGTTACAACAACAAAATAATTTCCCTTTGGGATTAATAAAGTATTATTGAATTGAATGGTAAATGTGTGCCTTTTTGTCTAACACCCACACATCTGATCACATAGCGTACAGAAGGACCTTTCCAGTCCCAGATGTGCGATTAGGAACATCACGTAAAACGATTAATAACGGTAGTGTACTCTGTGTACTTTTTTTTTTTAACCATGCTTAGATGTGATGCGCTGCAGGCATCCAACAACAACAATGAAATGACTTATTTCTAAAAGGTTTAATCTGCAACACTGCATGCAAGTTTGTCCAAATGGGTGTCGGAGCGAGTGATATTTAAGGTTTCCTCCGATGCATAAACTGGATGTTCTTAAGAATATTCCCACACAGAGTGATCAGGTTACACTGCCGTTTCATTTGATATGTTTCAGCTGTGTGAACGGCTTAAATTTCTTACGTTCAGCTGCTTTTGGCCTGAGGTTGCTCAAAAGGAACGGTGTTTTTTAGCTTGTTCATTCCTCTTTCAAGAGGCAAAAAACTCAAGTCCACATAAACCACATCTTTTAAATCGACTAAAAACAGCCATCTTGCGTTGGCTAATGTAGATTAGATATGGTGGCCATCCACAATTTACCTGACCTCATAAAACGGTAATCAGTTGTAGATGTACAAAAAGTCTAGAGTTCACAAGATATTTTGCTAACAAACGGAAGATCCTGTGCAATGAAAAGCACTTAAAAATGTGTTGTGAACAACGCAACAACCACGTCAAATTTTAGCACATTTGTTTAAAAAAATGACTTGATTGTGGCATCTCTGTGCTTTCATACTTCAGTTGGCTATGGCAGCCATCTTGAATCAATTTCCCTCCAAAAATAAATCAGTTGTAGAGGTATATCAAGTTATTATCTCGTGAAAGTCACGTTAAAATCCATCCAGTGGTTCATGAGGTATTTTGCTGAAAGATGAAGTTGACGCTAAATAGCTGGATAAATAGCAACCGATCAGCTGGTGCACATGATGTGTGTTGGGGATCTGCCTCAGCTGCTAACACACAAATCTTTGGGTTAATAACTGCAAAACTAATTTGGCTATAATCATCTATGGGTTGCAGGTTAGTTGGCTGTGGCAGCCATCTTGAATCAAGTTGACTCCAAAAGTTAATTACTTCTAGATGTACACTGTAGTCAATCACCACCATAGAGTAGCAGGTATGAGAGATGGAGGAAGAAAGGCGACGCTGTACTACACTTGAAATTATTTCTGCAAGTTTCATTAAGGGGTGGCATGGTGGTGCAGTCAGTTGAGCCGTTACCTCACAGCAAGAAGGTAACCAGATCAAATCCCAGTCAAGGACCGTTCTGGAAGAAGTTTGCGTGGGAAGGTAATCGTACTCCAGTTTCCTCCCACAGACCAAAAACATGCATGTTAGACTAATAAGTAACTAAACTGATCCTAGGTGTGAGTGAAGGTGTGTACCAGTAGCTGTTTGTCTCTATGTGGCCTTACAGTGGACTTGCAACCTGTCCATGGTATACCTTGTGTCTCATACAGCGACCCCCGAGACCCGAAAAGGAAGACCCGGGTAAAGACGATGGATGAAGTTTCTTTAAAATGTGTTTAGTAATTCATGAGATATTTTGGTAACACACAGACATCAAAGCATCATTGCCTGTCGAAAAATGGTAAATGGTAAATGGACTGCACTTATGTACCGTTTTTCAATCTTATCAAGACACTTAAAGTACTTTATAATCCATGCCCTCGTTT